GCATTCGAGTTGGGTATCTACCCATTGTTCTTCTTTCTTTCTTTTTTTTTTTTTTGAGCCAAGTATCAAGCGTAATGCTACCAATCTCTCGCCCGGTCACGATCTGGACGAACATGGATTTGGAGGATGTCTGATGCAGCACTCGATGTGCATTGAATCTGGTAAGGTTCGGGAGCGATGCGGCCTTTCCTGTCAGTGCCACATAAATCGTTCATATGGCATCCGGATTCCCTTTCGAAGCTTCAGCTCGCCGGACACCATCTCTAGTAACCTCAGCAGAGGAGTCATGATTCGCATTCCCTGTAAGTCTATCTCTACTCTCATCATAAATATCATACCAAAAGTTTCACTCGGACTCCTCCAAAAATCTCACACTTGCTCTGAATAAATGGCGCTGGCACCCTGCCGCCGCGCTGCAGGTGGTGCCGGCATATCTGGGTGCCCTTCTCCACTCTCCCTCGGTCCATCAGGACTGTACGCTCGGTATGTCGGTGACGGAGACCTAATACGGATTTGCCCACTCTCGATATCCCTCGGCGAACTGGGTGTTGAGACAGTACTGCCGCTGTTATTAAGCTCCATCTGCGACTCGCCGCTTGGTCCAAGCTGGCTCAAGTGCTTGGATACCGTGTGAGTGGTCGACGAGAGCTCCGTGCCCTTCTGGTCAGGGCTGTGGACATTGTCGTTGCGAGGGCCTCGCCTACTTGTCCATCCAAAGCCCCAATTCTTGAAAAGAGGACGGAAGGTAGCTGTGCAAGCTGCGATGATGCCAAGGGCAGGTTCCATGATGGACCAAATGGCTACGTCACTGATGTTGCGTCTCAGCATATTGTGGTGTAGGAAGCCTGGTCTGAGGACTTACATTGTCGCGTATAGAAACTCCATGGAAATGTCCATGTGGCGTACAAAAGGGATGCGGACAATGAGGGCGATTCCAGCACTTCGTCTTGTTAGCACCCGACGTCCAAGCAACCGACAAGGACTTACACCATGCCCATGCTCAGAAGAATCGCAATGATGACCTTCGTTCTTCTGTTGATGTCTACGTTCCAGAGCAACGCAATAGGTAGCAGTCCAAGGCACCAGTCAGACAAGGCTGAGATGACGCTGTGAGCGATGGTTGCGTACGGCACGATGTTACGGTCGATGCAGGTGCCCTGAATTCCATATAGCTGGCGCCAGAAGAAATGGACGGGGCTACACTGGAAGACCAGTAGGAAGAAGAAGGCGATGGAGACGACGCTCACGACGGCAAGATTGATCCATATGATCCAACGGTGAATCTTGTTCGAGGCGAGGCGGAGGAGCAAGACACAGACTGACGCGCGGATGGCCAAGGTCGTAGGAGCATAGAGAACTTCGCAGATGTACCACGCCCGTAGTGAGACAGCCGCATCGTCAATCTTGAGTTCGGCGAGGGACTTTCCAGTGGCGCCGTTTCGAATGCCATCAAGAGCAACAGCACCATACACAAGGTAAATGAGCTGATTGAGTTAGCTCATGCCACAATGGGAGAACTAAGGAGTCTGACCATAGCAAGGAAAATAAGCCAGTCATCCAGAGTTACTTTCTTGACCAACACGGCCCTGACATAGACCCTGAGCAGGACGAAGAGGCCGGCGATGATGAGGAACACGAGCTGGATGTAGAACATCTGTACGCCCCTTGACTTGATGTTTGAGTAGTCTTCCATGGTGGGCAACGTGGGTGTACTATGGCGTCTGATAACCCCCAACAGTATTGGCTGTGACCGACGCGTGTGCGTGCTCGTAACCTAAGAGGACATGGAGCATTTATAGGGTTGAGAGTGTCGGGCGAGTGGCTAGAAACACGTCTAACCAGGGGACGAATGCAGGGGATGAAAGGATTCATACGTAGTTTCTCGCGCGGAGCACCGGAGCACGCACAAATATGGCAGACATCAGACCAGAACCAGCCGTCATCCGTACGGCAGGGAGGCACGGCGAAGATTTGTCACTGGGTAGCGTCCATCATCTTGCGTGAAGAGAGTACCAGGGTCAAAGTTTGCGGGCAAAGCCAGCAGAAGCAAGATGTCAGTGACTGGAGTGAACCGTGCGGGAATAACGTCGCATGCCGGGATGAGGAAGTCAGCCACGGGCTCAAGGGTCATCGCACATCTATGTCCTAGCGTATCTGACTTGTCATGTCATCGAGGCCATGGTGTGCGGGAAGGGAAGATGGGGATACAGGAGGTGCGCCAGCGTTCCATCCCCATCCCACCCCCATCTTCACCAACGGTTGTCGCCTGCATCTGACCCATGGAGACTGTATCGTGTCAAGCGTGTCAAGCGAGGAGGGCGGAGGAGGGGGCGAAGGACATCTATGATGCACGGACCCAGCATCATGGCTGATCTCAAGATCTCGACCAGGCAGGCGAGCACGGCTTCGATCCGGCAGCGCATAAGTGGAGATGTAAGTAGGAGAGGGAGCTGTGAAAGTCATCACATATCAATTTCAGTTTTATGGTGTGTCGCATCGTGTAGTACAGTATCAGTAGTATGTATGGTGAACATGTTTCGCGTCGTAAGAGTATGTGGGGTTACAAAGCGGCGCTGATGATATGGGCAAGGACAAATGAAGCTTCTCAAGCTCCTCCGGCCTCCCCTTGCCGAAGTCCGACGGATTAGGGGAGCACAGGAGCTGGCTGCGGCCAGTATGGTGATGCCCACGATTGCGAGCGGCTTTGCGCCAAATCCCTGTTCCGTGGCGGCATCTCAGAACATCGTCTCACCGAGACCAAGTGGGCTCACCCGCTGCTGCTTCGATTCTCTGACAGGAACCTTGATGAGAACTACCGCATGTTTTTGACTCCTGCCGTTAGAGGTAGGTACTTTTGTTCCCATGCCGACAGAGAGTTCTGGTTGGCCTGAGACCGGTCTTCGCGGTGCTCAAACCGATGATAGATCAGATGAGTCCGAGGGCGAGGCCCTCCAACAGCCAAGACTGACTGGCCAATGCTACAAGCCAGGCGTCACAAGCTGTTCTCGATCTTTGAAGTGCCGTGGCCTGGAAGTGTGGGTGGTATTGTTGGCGCTGTGGCGCGGCGATGTCGAGACGTGACAAGATGTCGCCAGATCTGACCGGCGTGGGGTGGGTCGGACGGGACGGACGACGTCGGGTGGCTATACGAATAGAGATACCAAAGGCTCATTGCGGGGATCTTGGTATGGACATGGCCCGGAACTCGCGGCGCCTCTCAGTCTCCACGATCATCGGGGGAGATGAGGGACTGCACGCCAGGAGTTTGGAGGAGCTGGAGCAAAAGGAAGCAACATGGTGTCTGAATACAAGCAGTGTCGCCAGCAGGGGTTGTTTCGCCAATCGACGACAGCCAAACCCTCCCTCCTCCTGCCTCCTGCCTCCTGCCTCCTGCCTCCTGCCTCCTCCGAACCTGCCCCGCTCCCGATTCGCGGAAGGGCCCATCAACCCGGACCGGCAAATCGGGGCAATGACTGTCGGTGCGATTTGTCCTTGAACCTGTTTGCCTGTCAAACCTGCACGCCCTGCCTGGCAGGTATATGCTCTTGCCTCCCGGTGAGCCATCACAAAGCGGTCCAAGCTTAGCTCTCCCTTTACCTGCCTCGACTGGCTGCGCCTTGTACATGTATTCCGCTGCACGACTTCCCCACCCACCCACCTACCTGCCTGAGGTAGGTACATCGTGGTGGTGCGTCCTTCCCCAGCAGGTGCCTTGCTTGATCCAACTGGACCATGTGGACTGGCCGAGCCATGAAGCCTCCTCATTTGGCCGCTTTCTTCTCTAATGCAGCACACTCTGCGTCCTCACGAGTTGTCTGTCACCTGGTGGGTAGGCATGAGTACTCCGATCCTGCGGCCATATCGATCCAGCCCTCCTATTCATCCATCTCGACCTGGTTGCTGGACCCTATATATTCCTTTTTCTCTTCCATTTTTCCAATCTGTCAGTGGCCCATCGTGCATCGGAGACCCCCCGTCCTCGCAAGCTTTGTCTTTCTAGGACATATGTCCGGCCGTTTACAGCACTCTGGCCAATTGTGGTTGGAGCTGTCATGTTTCTTGTGAAGATGCTTTCTCTGATGCTGCATTCTCGCGATGTCCCCCCACCCCTCCTCGAGGAAAATCCATCCTACACTTTCCCGCATGCCAAGATGTGTTCTGTCGGAGGGCTTTTCGGGGTCCAAATTATTACTGCCTCATTTCGAATAGTCATGACTGTGTTATCGGTTGAGCCTGGGGTTGACAAGTTGTTCGGCCAAGACAATCGCTTGATGTAGCACGCACGTGCCTTCGACGTGACGTCAGAGAGGACCAAACGATCCTCGAGAGGTGTTTCGCACATGCAATTCACTGCTGCCGGAACCTTCATGGGACTGGAAGGCAGTTTTCTGCCATCCAAGGCTAGCTATCTAGGTGGTGATCGATGATAGAGAGCTCATCGTTGTTGGCCCAATTTTCGCCTTGATCAACCTCGTCCCGTCTCGCACCATTTTGCTTCTCGCCACAATGCGTGGTTATCCCGCCGCACGTGTCGACAATCAGGCCGTCAAGAAGTCGCGTCAAGGCGATGATGGAAACTAGACAATCAGTGGCCACCGAGTTTGGGCTCAGGGCTTGCGGGGTCTTTTTGGCCAGTAGGCGGCAAGGGGTTCTACGGATTGTTGCGAATATGTATCCTTTGCATACTTGACGGCTCATATCAAGTACTGCGAGATTAAAACCACTTTGACTTAACGGCATCTCAACCTATCCTTACGGTTGACCTGATTGTAGACGTAGGGCATTACCTGTCAATGACGATCATGTTACCTGGATCCACTACACCCGCCTAAGTCTTCTGGTGAGGCACCTATGACGAAACACCACAGCCATATTCATTGAAACCGATAAAAACACGAGACTACAGGCGTTGAAGGACTCGAGATGTTGAATTTCTCTCGCACGTATGTTCAGAGGAACAGGTAAATTCAAGCACTTCAATCAAGCATAAACCGTTCAGAATGTCCGAGCAATTTAAACCTGGTACGCCATACACCAACTCACCACAATAGCTACTATGGCGATTCTAACACGACCTGCAAGGCCATGAGGTCCCCGTGACCGATCAGAGCTTCCCAGGCAAGGAGGGCGACATGCCTCACCCGACACCCAAGTTCGACAAGATCCCTACAGCCGACGGCGGCGAGAAACTTTACCAGGCAGCTGGGAAACTCAAAGACAAGAAGGCTATCATCACCGGTGGTGACTCCGGCATTGGCCGCGCTTCTGCGATCCTCTTTGCCATGGAGGGTGCTGACACGCTGATCGCCTATCTGCCCAACGAAGAGGACGATGCCCAAGAAACCAAGAAGCGCGTCGAGGACTACGGCCGCAAGTGCCATCTGCTGGCTACCGACGTCACCGACAAGGCCAACTGCAAGAAGATCGTCGATGAAGCACTGGAGAAGCTCGGAGGCATTGATATTCTCTTCAACAACGCCGCCTACCAGATGATGGTAGAGAACATCAAGGACCTGTCCGAGGACCAGTGGCTGCATACCTTCAACACCAATATCCACCCGTTCTTTTTCCTGTCCAAGTATGCCCTGCCCCACATGAAGCCGGGCGCGACCATTATCAACAATGCGAGCATCAACGCCTACATTGGACGACCGGACCTGCTTGACTACACGTCAACCAAGGGCGCCATCGTGTCGTTTACTCGAGGCTTGAGCAACCAGTATGTCGACAAGGGCATCCGCGTGAATGCTGTCGCACCAGGCCCCGTGTGGACGCCGCTCATCCCAGCGACAATGAATGAGGAAGCGCAGAAGAACTTCACAAGCCCCATGGGACGTCCGGCACAGCCATCAGAGATCGCAACGTGCGTCGTGTTCCTGGCTTCGACGGATAGCTCTGCTCTAAGCGGGCAGGTTATTCACTGCAACGGCGGCGTCATCGTCAACGGATAAGAGGCAGGCTGAGACATTGTCAGGTAGAGTGAGAGCTTGAGTAATGAAATAACGGCCATTTTCATCCGTCATGGCTTGGAATCGCCCCGATGACGTTGTCCACAAGCTCGGCATGCGTCGTGGAGTCGTGGAGGAGGAGCTTCTCCGCGCCGTTCTGCGTGTAACCCCAGTGGGTAGGGCTGCCCACGCTAATCCGTTTATGGTATGGCGGCCCATGTGAAACACAGTCCAGCCCGAAACGCGACATCCCTGCCGGACCTTTCTTTGGGTTCGCGTTGTGATTCTTGCTTTGTTTATTATCATCGTGGACAAGTTGCGTTTCTACTGACAAGTTATGGCTATCTTGATGATGATGGACGGCATATTGAACGATATAGACATGCTCAGGGAATTCGGATGGAGCTTGTGCCAATTTTCGATCGGGTCAAACAAACAATGCTATGTCTTTCGCCAATTGGCACGCTGTCCTGACCCTTGCCCTGCCATCCTAACTGCGGGAGCCGAGCATGCGCCCATCTTCATGGCGGCGCATTCTACTCATTCTACTCACCACCTGCCCCCGCCCTCCGAAAGCCCAGCTCAAGATTCGACGAAGGGATTCCTGGGTGATGCTAACGAGGACTTGTAATTTAGGGCAATATCATGCATGGACGACAGTACCTGTTTAGTGGCCTCCAGTCCCCTGAACCCAATGCGCGCCACAGGGGTAGCCACGGCCCCAGAACGCCTGGCAGGCACCACGCTGCGGCACCTTCCAGAGTCGCGTTTGGGCTTCCCCTTGCCCCCCCTTGCATCCCCCTCCACGACCAACAACAGAAACAGGGGCAATCCCTTCAATTTTCCTTCCTCCATCCACCCTCACACGGTAGCTTCCCCCCTCTCCCTTCTGGCCCTCCTCCACGTCAAGCATAGCCACTCACACGTGTTGTCTCTTGTCTTGTTTTTCCCACTCCCCCCCCCTTGTTACTCTGCCTACCTTACCTTGATCAACATTGGTCTTCAGTTCATCGTCACCAGCTTCTTCTTCTAGTTTTCCCTCATACTTGCAAGCCATCTTCTATCACTTTACCCACCGACGACTACCCCACACGATCAGACGCTGATACAAGTTTCCGAGACACTGAACATCAACCTCGCTTCTCCACGTTCCATCTCGCTTCCGTTCGCCATGTCTGCCACGGCGGCGTACCGGCAGTTTCTCGCCTCCCCCAACTCGGCGCTGCTCGCCGCGAACGCGACTCTCCATTACATCACCACCACTTCGACTTTCAACGGCCCTACCGACATTATCAAGCACCTCAGCACCCAGCGGAACCAGCTGAAGAAGCACCAGGAGGACATACTCGACGTGGTGGAGGGTCGTGATGCGCTAGCAGCCGAGATTGAGACGGCCCTCGAATTCGTGACGAGCGGTGGTGCCTACCTGCCCGGACTTGACGACAACTTCCTGGCTGACCAGAAGGTCTACTTTACTATTGTATGTCTGGCCAGCAAAGAGCTCGCGAACTCCGTTGCCCACATGGTGTACTGACCCCTGGCTTCCCAGACTCACTTCGTGACTTTCGATGCCGAAGGCAAGATCACACAGATCCGCTTGACCTGGGATCAGGGCTCGCTTCTGAAGCAGCTCGAAATCATTGGCAAGTCCGGACGCAACTGGCCTATTCGCGATGGCAAGGAGCAAACCAAGTTGATCACGACTGCCCTCAAGGCCTCCGGCAGAATCGCGAGCGCACCCGACACGAACGAAATTACGATTCGTTCCCGCAGGGCATCCCAGAACATCCTCAGGGATCCCCACGCGTCCCTGTCCTTGTTCGCCTCTCGCGAGCAGCAGGCGGCTGACGAGACCAACGGCCAGTCTGTCGTGTCACCATACGCAGGCACCCGCCCTCACCAGAGGTCATTCACTGACATCCTGACGGATGCGCCTGCCGAAGACCCGAGCTCACCCAGCGCCGGCCGCGAACGAGCGCCCAAGATTGGCGCCGGCAAGAACTTCCAGCCCCAGCGACTCTTCGACGCTGACCCCAATGCGCCACTGGAGCCTGAATCGCCCGAGGCTACCATGAGCCCCAGCAAGGCCTACCGCCCTCATCCCACCAAGTACAACCACTTCGATTTCGCCGATGGCTCTGATCCTCAGGATGCTGCCGCCGCGGTTGCCGCTCGCGATGCGCACAAGCCCAAGCCTGCCAAGAACGGCGCAAATTGGTCCTTCGAAGACTTCACCACACCCCACAAGCCTCAGCCTTCAAAGGCGTTCCGCCACCAGGATGTCCGCCACTGGGACGCGGACAAGGACTCTGGTATTCAGGAGACCCCTGTGCACCACGCACCACCCAAGCCTCGCCGCGATGCCGAGGCCCATTTCGAATACCTTGACGATGGACTTCCCCAGCCTGGAAGTCGCGTCTCTGGCCGGCCCCGCGGTGCAGGTCAGAACGAAGGCTCCCATCTGTATGAGAACAACCTGTACAATGAGGACGGATCAGCACCTACACCTGCTCCCAACCGAGCTCTGGGCAACATCACGAACCTGTCGGACCGCCATAAGGACTTTGACCCTCACTTCGCCATTGAGGACAAGTCTCCTGCTCCTAGCAAGGTGCAAAAGCCTGCCGAGGAGGCCAAGAAGGAGAACGCGGGAGGCATTCACATTGCCGGCGACGGCATGGGTGGCCGCAAGGGCACCAACCGAGACTGGCTCTACGGCGAAGATTCGGAACCAACGCCAAAGGCCAACAACGGCAAGAAGCAGGGCACGTCGGGAGCGCAGAAGAACTCAAGCTTCAACTGGGACTTTTAAGTGACTCTCGCAGCACCGGCGGCAACAGCAGTCTGACTTGTCCGCACTCTATCTAATCTCTCTGTTCTTTCCATCAATTTGTCACTTGACGATGCCACGGACACGCGGCTTATGAATCATGAGCTACCTCGCTTTCGATTCTTGTCTCCATGCGGCGCAGATTCGCCCGTTTACCCCCATTGTTTTTCCTCCCGAATTTGTTTTGTTGCATCGCCATCTGGGGTAGGAGAGAGGGGGACGGTTCGTGCTGGATAACCGGGGAGGCCGCCCCCCCTCCTCTCCCGTGAGACGAATGGTCTTGAGGGCGTATTTTTACTACAAGTTGTAAACCTGTATTACGTCCGTTGATAGCCTAGGAAGTAAAACAGAAAAAAAGAAATATCCACTTGCAGAGTTCCCTCTAATCAGCTGTACCTAAAAAAAGATTCGGTGATAAGAATGCCTGCGTCAGCGCGGGTTTTCGGAATGTTCAGTCACATCCACTACTACGATATTACGAACGTTCACCCGACTTAGGGTTCAAAAGTAAAAGCAAGGTATATTCTGCCCGCATGTGGAAAAAAAAAAATACGCGCTAGTGCCAGCTTTATATCTGACAATGCGAACCAACCGTAGTCATCTCATATCCCAGAATTGCCGGCCCTTCAATCCATGACCGTCCCATCATATCGTATTGCAGCCAAGAGAGGAGGATGAGGAAACCAGGTATCCTTGCCTCCCCTGCCGCGCCCTGGGAACACGTATTCAAATCATTACTCCATGGGAATCCGAAAAAAAAGCGCCAAACGCCAGGCTACCCGTACCCATCCACTACCGACCCTCACACACCATGCTTGTTCCTCTCCAGAACGGCGGCTAACACAGGAACTTGTACACCTTCTTCCATCTTGGCCACGTCTTCTTCTCCTCCTCTTCCTGAGATATCAGGATGTTGAGGTGGAAATCCCGTCGTCCCGTGTCCACATCCATGTCGGACAGTCTGACCCATGTCGTTCGGTAGTAGAGCTTGTGGCCGATGTAAAACACTCCGACGACGGGGGCGGCCAGGTAGCGCAGGAAGAAGGACTTTGCTATGCCTTTGCTGTCGAGCTCGTCGACCTCGATGGGCCATGCGCCTACCCAAAACTGCGCCACGAGGACGATACAGTTCATGATGAGGCCGCACCAAGAGCCGGTGACGCCGACCTGGGACCGCCAGGCGAGTTCGCTCGGGTGATGGCCGGCGGCGCGCCAGGCTTGGCGGAAGCGGATGTGACAATAGCAAATGGAGGCCCATGTGAAGATCGAAGATAGTCCTGAAGTAGCGAGGAGCCAGTCAAGAATGTCGGACTGCTCAGGCATGTCCGCGATATAAGAAAGGAGGCCGACAATGGCGGCCGCACCAATGGCCATCAGAGGCCGGCCCTTGCGATCAATGTACGAGAAAATGCGGGGGGCCTGGTTCTGGTCGGCCAGAGCGGCGAGAGTACGGGAGGAACCGAACACGGCCGAGTTGCCGACGGAGAGGACGGCGATGAGAATGACGGCGTTCATGATATCGGGAAGGACGCTGATCTTGGCTTCCTCAATGGCGATGACGAATGGGGAGGCGGTAGCGTTGATCGGGGACTCGACGGCCATGAGACGGTGGTCGTTGTGTGGCACGAGAAGGCCGACAAGGGTAAGGGCGACAATGTAGAATAGCGTGATGCGCCAGAAAACCTGCTTGATAGCGGTAGGCAGGGACTTGCGCGGGTTGGCCGTCTCAGCAGCGGCGAGACCAACCAGCTCGGTGCCGGCAAAGGCGAAGGCGGCAGTGACAAAGACGGAGCAGAGGCCCTTAAAGCCGTTGTTGAAGGCGCCCGGGTTTTGCCAGTAGCGCCCACCAACATAACCCTCGCCCGGGGTGCCACCAATGTTGAGAACAATGCCGAGCAAGATGAATCCGATGACGGCAATGATCTTGATGAGAGAGAAGATAAACTCAGCCTCGCCATAACCCTTAACGCCGAACATATTGATGCCGATAATACCGATGAGGAAGATGGTGACAAAGATGGCGCGCGTCACCGACTCATCCCAATAGTTGATGGTAATAGAAGCGGCGATAATCTCCAGCGGCAACACAATAAGCCACTGGAAAGCATAGTTCCATCCCATGGCGAAGCCCCAAGAGGGGTCGATAAAGCGCGTCGAGTAGGCCGAGAAGGATCCGGCGACGGGAAAGGTCACGGCCAGCTCACCGAGAGCTTGACATGTACAGTACAGCATGGCGCCGACGAGCGAAAAGGCGATGAGCAAGGAAGCTGGCCCTCCGTTGGCGAGGGCGCGGCCTGAAGCAACAAACAGACCGGTACCGATGGAGCCTCCAATGGCGATCATCTGTAGGTGACGGCCCTTGAGACTCCTCACGAGGTTCGAGTTGACGGTCTGCAGGGTGGCTTGGCGTAGGTCATAGTAATGAGGGTCGAGCTCGTGCTCCTCGCCATCCTCGTCGAGGAAGCCGGTGGCGCTGGAGGGCTTGGGCAGGATGCTGCGGTCGGGATCGCGCTGGAAGCTCTCGGCGAAGCGCTTCCAGCGAGAAGGGCTGGAGGAGGCGTCGTAGACGGGCTCGCGCAGGCTGAAGTCGCGCATGCTGTAGCTGCTCCCCTGGCCTAAGGAGTCCTCTTTGAACTTGAGTGTGTTGAGCTCTATATCCCGGTGCGATGCCATGGTCTGGACGGCGGGAGTCCCTAGGGCTTTGGGCGTGGGCGGGGTCGTAAATGGCCCGCCTTGGGACGGGACGGAGCGTCTCCTGGGAACCGCAGAGGGAGGCTGGCGGCAGCAGCGGCAACAATGAGAACTACCGGCAATGATTGTGGCAGCAGTCGATGTGGAGGGTCAATAATCACACGTTGGGCGGGTATCTGAACAGCGGCATTCCAGTGGTGAGTCGTGAGGGGGAGCAGGGAGATTCGAGGGTTCAAATGTTCGAGAGTCGAGGCAAGATGATTGGTGGTGGGCCGTGGCGACTCGAGGGATCTGACAAGGCCAGATCGAGCGCCTGGAAGCGTTTCGCAAGGGATGGGATGAAGATGGGCGTCTTGTTGTCAGTGACTCGGTGAGATGAAGTCTTGCGAAGGCGACGAAGAGGAACGGAGAGAAGGACGCGGCGGTGTTCCTGGATGCATGGGGGCTGGGCTCTGGGGGGGGGGGGGGGAAAGGCACCATCTGGTGGAAATGGGCGGACGTTGGTGGACAGACATGGGGGAAGAGGAAGGAACAATCGGATGCTTATCTGGGCTGGGGCAGGGACGAAGGACGGGCGACTCGTCGCATTGGCGTTGACAAGGATGCTGGGGTGGGGGGTTGTTCAGGGAAAGAGCGGACGGGAAGTGAAGCACGAGGGCAGCCGTTGGAAGCACGCAAGAGCCGAGCGGTGCCATTCTTGCTACCTAGGTATCTGCAGCCAGCTGCATTGGTCCCGAGCGCTGATCGACCTGACTACGACTGTCCCTACTTCTTTGTCCCCTGGAGTCGCAGCTACAAGCTCAGGGCGAGGCAACCGAACGTGTGTCCATCTCGAGGCCGGTCTCTTGACCTGACGCTTATCAGAGCCGATTGAAGAATGGGATCAAGGTGGCATCGGCAGCAGTTATCAAAAGCAAGGTAGCACAGCATCCCCACCAAACAAGATTGCGGAGAGCGCCCAACCACGTACAGCAAGTACTCCATCCACTGACTGATCCCCTAACGCTCACAGGGCACCACCGACCTAGGTAGGTACCGAAGGCACCTAGGAGCCCCCTTTGGCTGACACCTGGGGCGCACGGTGCACGGCTTGGGTCGAGCCACATTCGACCTTTGTCATGACTGTTACCTCGGACCATCCAGTCGGGACGGGAAAGGGCCGCGAGTGCCGCTTGGCCTCGTGTTACATGGACGTCAAGAATGTGTAATGCAAAATGGGTTGCAGTGCACACGATGAAAAAAAAAAAAAAAAAAAAGTTTGCTGATGGCATGCAGGATGAGGACACTTGGGCGAGAAAAGATTGGACTGTACCTCGAATGAGCGCGCGTGGATGGCTGGCGGTTTGCCAAGGGTCCTGCCATCACAATCACTGGGCTCTTTGGGGCCTGGCCATTGCATAGCTGGCAGGGTCCCCTCACGCCATCAGACAGACATGCCAAACTGGGCAAGGTGTCTTCCGGTGGCTGCGCCAGTGGCAGAGCCAGGTGGGACGATGGTTTGACAGACCTGCATCCCCCAAGCCCCCGAACGGGAACGTTGAAGCCTCGCTTTTCTCCACTCACTCCTTCAACTGTTACACTTGCCTTTGGTTCGGCGCCACCCCGCGAAGATCTTTTGTGCCTGCTGACACGCGATACCAAAACCTTCTGATGCATCTAGGTACCTAGGTACAACTTCGGAGATACAGCCGATCTCAAAAAAGAAAAGATGTTCTAGAAAACCCCATAAACGAAAAAGCTCACGCGTGCATGTATCATACCAGACTAGATGCAGTTTATGTCCGTATGTACTTTTCGGCCGTTGCAACATTTAGCGTCACCACCCTATCGTACTCTGATACACATGTCTCCCGGCGTTATGCCCCTCGTCTCATCGCCTCCCCTCTCATACGATGATCTTGCCCTTGTCATCGCGCGGCTTGCGTTTCCATCCCGTCGAGAAGAGCGGCCCCATGTCGAACCGCGGGAACGGGTGTCCCTCCGTGTTGATGACAATCTTGTCGAGCGGCATCAGATCGTTTGGCGAAAACAGCAGGTACATGTACTTCAAGGTTTCGGCCTGTAACCGTGTCAGCACTTGGGCCTGATTCTGGAAGAGGAGAAACACATTCAAGAATCGTCTCAAATGCGCCACTTACCAGCCAGAAGCTCTCGAGGTTATCCTTGACCACCGGGGGCACCGTGTTGGCGTTGCTCAAGCTCGTAAAGCCGCCACCTTCCTCCACCGACGCGTGGGTGACAAACGACTTGAACATCTCCCATCCCCACTCCCGGTAGATCGGGTCTCCCGTGATGCGCCACATGTACAGCAGGCTCTCTACCGTCTCCGGCCGCTGCAGGTTGTGCACGTCATTGCTGTGCACGTCGTAGTCCTTCCGCCACGTCGCCTCCGGATCCGAGTCAAACTCTTTCGGCGCCTTGTGTGGGGCCGACTCTGGCAACGGCGGGTCGTTGACCTTGAAGTATGTGATCTCGGCCGCCAGCCCCGTGGCCATCCACTTATACATGCCCCAGCATGTATGCATGAGCTCGCGCGCCAGCGCCATGTCTGCCTCCTGTTTGGCGCCCCACGTCGGCAGCTTGCGCGCCTCGGCTTCCGTGAGGCCACCTGTGGCTGCGAGCGCGATCGTGCCAGGGTAGAAGCACACGAGATGGTCCATCTTGGGTGACAGCTTGCCGTCGAGCCCTGATGGTCGCTCGCCCAGTACAGTGAAGCGCGAGGGCTCGCTGTACGTGATGAGGTGCTTGCGCACGCCCCCGAGCGACTCCTCCCACATCTCCTGGTATACCGGCTCCTGTTTGTTCGTTTGGAGATACTGCTTGATGAGGTACTCGTAGTACGAGTCGCCCCTCGAGCCGAGCCGGATATTCGATCCGCGGAACTTGCCCGATGTCGCATAAATGTAGATGGGCACGAGGCCGTCCTGCGCCCCGTTGTCGTCCACCACTTGCATCACCTTCTCGACCTTGTCCCAGTAGTACTTCTCTCCCGTCAGCTTGGCGAGATACTTGAACTCAAGCTGCAGCGTCGTCACTTCGGCTGTCGACGACGCTCCGTCGTCTGCGTGCGAGATGACACCCTCGCCCTTGCTGAGGATGACACTCGCGTACGGCACGCCCGACTCTGAGTCGAATGCTCCAATCAATCGGTCTGCTAGGTCCTTGGCTTTCTCGAGATACAGGTCCTCGCCCGGCGCGCCCTCGTCGTCGTCAGCTAATGGTGCCAGCTGCGGGAACTCGGTCGAGATGTAGTGCGCCGACAGCAGGCCGCCGAGCATGCGAATCGTCGTCTCAAACGTGTTGACGTCCTGGTTCTGGTCCCAGGTCAGCGACTGGGACAGCCACTCGCGGGCATGCGTCAGCCGCGAAGTAAGGTTCATGAGCATCATCGTGTCGAGCGAGTCGATGATGATCCAGCCGAGGCCCTTGGGTGCCATGTGCTTGCCGGTCTTCGCTACAGGGTGGTACTCGTCGTAGCCTGGGAAAGACGTGGAGTGTCAGTTGACCGTTGTCAGCAGTCGCATAGAGGTCACTTACCCCAAGCGTATCGCTCGTACGCATCCCAGCTCAACTCAAAGGCTTCCACCACTCTTTCTCTCCTCTTGTCCCAGTCTACCTTCTTGCCACTCGGTTCCTTGGCCGCCTCGGACGACATCCACCGCTGCAGGTCAATGTGCGGCGTGTCGACATCCTCGAAGACGCCAAAGAACCAGCAGCCACCCAGCACCAGCAGTATGAGGAGCAGTATGGTCCTCTTTCTCCGCCACGCCGGCCGCAGGCGCCTGGACGCGGCATAGGTATATGGTTTGTCTTTGTACATGGGCAGCTGTCCGCGCGTACCCAAGAAATCATCCACACGGTGCTGAACGCCGTCGAGGATGCCGGACGCTTGTGCTTTCGAACCGCGGGCCGTGACGCCTGAGGATGACCACATGTGATCCTCGATCAGTCGTTGTGGGTTGCCGAAGGACGGAGCATTCTTCGGGACTGTAAAAGACATGATGCCGTCGACCCAAAGGGGATTAAGAAGGCGATGGTATAATGTATGTCGTGGCCTTCCTGGTCTCTCTGCCGTATGCGAGCAGCACGGCGGTCCCCACACCACTACCTGTCCTTGGTGATGTGTGGGCCGTGGCCTGGGGGTGCGTCGTGTGGTTTGACGTGGTCTCGGACGTTCTCAGAAGGGGGTTTGTGGCATGGCGCAGGTTGTTGTAGAGAACATGTACGGGGTAAGAAGTTCGCGATGTCGGCTTTGCGTCGTCTGTGTATCAATTGATGCAGACCTTAAAGTGGGAAAGACAACAATGCGAGACAGGTCTTCGTTAGTCAAGGGAAGCCTGAAAGCTGGAGCTCACGAGACAGGGTCATCGCCAAGCTGGTGGTGGGCTTGCAGCCCAGCGAATGAAAGGACGCGCTGGGGCTACTCCTGGTATACCTTTGCTGGGACCCTTGAAGAGGACACTTAGAAGGGGCGGTGTTAGTGTGCACCCCCCTGACGACATACATGTACCACCAGGCAGGCGCCGGGTTTCCCTAAAGTGGCCATCTTCGACGACGAATATTCTTCATATCGCTGGTCTTGAACGGGAGTATTTTCCAAAGGCATAGATCTCAGGGCAAGCTGCATGTGGTGGCAAGTTCAGATACCTGCATTCATCCTTTCTGTCATAGTGGATGCTTCCAACCTCTTCACCATAGAAAGCCTCCCTTTCCTCCACGTCAGCATGAGATGTCAGTTAGCGAACGAGACGCAGAGGTCGGAGATGTCAAGATGACAAACACGTTTTTGTTAGATGCAATACCAGCTTCTCAAAACGACAATCTTGTTGCCCATTTTCCCAGATGAGGCCTAAAGTCAACCTCTCTATCGTGATTTAGTCAGCCAATGACAGTCGGACTTCCAGCTGGTCATGACCCCATCTGACCATGCACGATGAATGCCTTTCCATATCAGTTGATCTCAACCAAGAAACTCCGCACATCCCTGAAAACAAGCGGGACGTTTGAACTAGCATTCAGATCGTGATAGTTCCCGAAATGCCTGTACCATGGCTTCTTCCTCCAACCTCAAGAATTTTCCCAATTTGACCAGAGACGAGTTCGCCGAAGTCTGCCATCATTTCGATAACCGTTATGTCCAGGCAACATTGGGCCCCCTTCGTCGAAGATGGAAGATGAGAGTCTTCAGCGCCTTTGACATAGCCTTCGGCCTGGGCGCCGACTGCACCACTTATATCCAAATTATACGACCCCTTGAAGCAACCCTGGACCCTGACGACCTGTCGTCGTTCTTGGACGGCTTCTCCTTTGGCAGCCAGGCGAAACCAGAGTCTCACGCGCTGGAGCTCGACCATGCCATGATGGATGCCGAAGAGTCGGATGAGGTACATCACTGCGAGTCCCTCGGGGCGTGGGCGTGTCCCGTGGCTAATCACGAATAGGCCGCCATGCCCAAGAAGCGAGCACCGCCCGATTCGGGACATGTTGTCTACGAGATTCACCTTCACCCCACATATCAGATGCCTTGTCTCTGGTTCACGCTGCACGGGTTGCCGGCGGACGAGCCCCCATTCAACATCGACACGGTCTTCAGGAGGCTGGTACCCGATCAGTATAAAAGCGCCCTACGCGGCACAGGGCCCATCGGCGGCATCTCATGCGATGTGAGTTATACTTTCAATCGAGAAAGAGGCTTTGAATTGTGTCGATTGGCGGCACTCTATTTCGCCATGCCTATATTTCTGCTGACAAGGTCCGGCAGCATCATCCCCTCACGGGGGTCCCATCCTTCTACGTCCACCCTTGCCTGCTCGGCGATGCTATGGCCGGGTTCGAGTGCTCCAAGGAGAACTACCTGATGGCTTGGCTCGGGTTGGTCGGCGGGTGCGTCGGGCTCTGGGTGCCCAAAGAGATGGCCGAGGTAGCCCGTCCGTCGTGGGACTTCCCATAGAGCTTCCATAAAGCCTTTTCTTCCGCTTCTTCTTCTTCTCCCTAGGCGCCACCCTCCTTTCCGTGGCGCTCATCATCCAATTTGTCAAGCACGAAAAACCCAATCAGTCGCTGTCCTCCTCCATGGCCACGTCGCCGTCATCATCACTCTCCTCCTCTTCCTCCTGGTCTCTTGTCCTCTTCTGCCCCCGGCCGCCCTCGGACCGCGCATCCTCCATGGTTGTGTCCGCGGCGGGCGCCGGCTTCGCAGCGGTCCCTGGCGCTGGCGCGTTGAAGATGCTCTGCTGCAGTGATGTGACCTCCACCTTGGCGGCGCCCGTCTTGGGAAGCTCAAAGTTAGGGTCGAGCCTGGCGATGAAGTCCGACTTGCTCTTGGCGTACTGGATTCTCTGTGTAGGAACAACGTCAGTACGGGGCTACCCCGGGGAAGTGTGTGATTCCAGCATGAGTGAACGTACGAGTGGGCGACCGAGGAACTCGAATCCCTCCAGCGACCTCATGGCCTGTGTCGCTGTCTGAATATCGCGGTAGGTAATGTGCGCCTGGCCGCGCATCTTCATGGTCTTCATCGCGACAATGTCGAGAACAGGGCCGTAGGTCGAGAAGAGCAGGTACAATTCGGTGCGCAGGTCGGGTTTCTGGATCTTTGCTGAAGGGAGGTTCGTGACGTAGAGTCTGCTTGGTGTCAGCGAGCCGTTGTGGTGCCTATCTGAGAGCTTCAGCATACGTCTGGTTAGGTGCGATCGGGGTCACCTTGGTGGGGAGGGAGGCATTGGGCGGAAGACCGCGGGGAGGGGCAACGGCAGCCATGGCGGTGGATGGCGGACGAGCTAGCGCAAGTTCTCTAGACAAGAAGAAATCTGTCCGTCGAATACTGCGATTGTTCTTGATGCGTTGTCACGCGGTGCGTCGTCGTGGTCGTTTGCTTCTGGGTGTTGCGCCGAGGCTGTCGAAAGTTCGCGGTGAAGAGAAATCCCATGCCCCTTCGGCGGCGCCAATCGAAGTCAGCATCCGACCCCAGCTCAACTCGAGGCTAACCTTTGACTCCCAGGGTGCGGCTAGCGCCTTGAGCTACGCAACCCCTCAGCGGCGCAGCCCCACCAAGCTTGACTTGTGGTGTCCATGTTCTGGCAGCATTGAACACTACCGTCTCTGGGAACCCAGCCTCCATCATCACCGTCCGAATTCCTCCTCCACCATTTCTCGTTCTCCCTGAACATACGCAGTGGTAGTAGAGAGCTACTCCTACCGCACCGACATCGATCATCATGGCTGCTCCCGAGATCCACCATCTCTTCCACAACCCCATTGCCGACCACTCCTTCTCGGCTGACCGCTCGACTCTTGCCATCGCCCGCGACTCGACTGTTGAACTCTACGGAAAGGCAGGCAATGCTTTCAAGCTGAAGGATGAGCTGAAGGGCCACGACAAGAGGGTCACCAGCGTTGACATCGCCCCCAACAGCGGTCGCATCGTCACCTGTTCGCAAGGTCAGCGACAATCAGCTACCCCCCACACCAGGGTCCAACATGACGCTGACGTCCTTTCTAGATCGTAATGCCCTCGTCTGGGAGCCCTCCCCCTCCGGCTACAAGCCGACGCTTGTGCTTCTGCGCATCAGCCGCGCCGCGACCTTCGTCCGCTGGTCGCCCGACGAGACCAAGTTCGCCGTCGGTTCCGGCGACCGCCTCATTGCCGTTTGCTACTTTGAGGAGGAAAACGACTGGTGGGTGTCGAAGCACCTGAAGAAGCCCATCCGCAGCACCATCACTTCGGTCGCTTGGCACCCCAACTCGGTGCTCCTCGCTGCAGGATCTGCGGATGCTCACGCTCGTGTCTTCTCTGCCTTTATCAAGGGCAACGACGCCAGGCCCGAGCCCAGCGTCTGGGGCGAGAGGCTTCCCTTCAACACTGTCTGCGGAGAGTACCTCAACAACTCTGCAGGCTGGGTTCACTCCGTTGCCTTCTCGCCCAGCGGAGATGCCCTTGCCTTCACCGCCCATGACAGCAGCATCACGGTTGTCTACCCCAACGGCGCCGACCAGCCGCCCAAGGCTGTTCTCAACATTGCGACCCAGCTCCTTCCCTTCATGAGCCTCCTGTGGAGTTCCGAGGACGAGATCATCGCTGCTGGCTACGACTGCGAGGCGTTTCGCTTCAAGGGAAGCGAGAGCAGCTGGCAGCTGGCGGGCAGCCTGGAGTCCAAGGGCCGTCCTGGCCTTGGCGAGGCGCGTGAAGAGTCTGCCCTCAACATGTTCAGGCAGATGGATCTCAAGGGCAAGACTCAGGACGATACCAAGCTCAAGACGGTTCACCAGAACACCATTTCGACCATTCGTCCCTACGAAGCTTCTGGTGGCAACGTCACCAAGATTAGCTGTAAGTGCTCTTTGAAGGAGTTCTCTGTTTCTTGTTTCACAGTGTCATTGATTACTGACCTGCCATGCAGCCACTGGCGTCGATGGAAGGATTGTCATCTGGTCAATCTAGACTAGCTATCTAGTTAGCAATGAAAGCCTTTGATGTTTCAGGGAAACCGTTCCAGTATCAGACGCCCACAAGCTGCACTGCTTCTCTGAGCTGCCTAATGCGTTGTCAATGATTGTGCATGCTTCTTCTAGATCTGCTGAAACGGTGTCGCATGGACCCATGACCGGTTCATTGTATATGGATGGCATTTATACACCGACCAAGCTCTCCTCTCTTCATGTCCTCAATGACCTTGCGCAGATTTACGACCGCGACATGAGCCAACAGAGATCACCAAGCGATTTCATCTACGAGCGTCCGTCCGTGACGCCCATGATGAACACCCATGCTTATGATGGCTTTGGTGACCATCTCCCATCGGTGCCACCCGCCAACGCACCACTCAAGGCGTATTCCCTGAGCAGGATATTAGGACAATATCCTCGCGGACAAGTTCTGGACGGTCAGGGCGAAGATATAAACATCGGCGTCCCATACACCACATGCCAGGGACCCAACGAACCAAGCCCGTTCCCCATCTGGACAGCAACAACGAACGAAGCAACCCACGAGCTGGGCTTCCAAGGCCAATCCGAGGGATCCAAGCAGGTACCTGCCGCCGCCGCGCAACCCTTCTGTCCACCACACAGCCATCACAATGATCCATACCAGCCTCCAATGATGCACATCAACATGAACGAGCACATGCACAAGACTCACCAAGCCCCTTCGCCCATGAGCATCGCGTCGAACATGGCCGCCGCAACAGTGCTCCCCTCGGATGAAGCCCACCGTCGCGACGGCCGCCTCAGTTGCAGTACAACGACCGTCAGCATCGACAACGCCAGCTCCAGCAACCCGGCCAGCGACGTCCACGCCATTTGCCTCCTCGCCACGGAATCCTACCTCAGCGAACGCCGCGCCAACTGGCGGCTCCGCGGCGGCGGCAGCGGCGGCGGCAGCGGCGGCGTCAGCAGACACCGTCCGCAGCGCCCCTCGTCGTCGCCCCGCGGCAGCCGCTGGGTGCCCTACGTCCCGCCCAGGCAGGACAGCGACGGCGAGCACGGCCACGGCCACGGCCACGGCCACGGCCACGGCCACGGCCACGGCCGCCGCCGCAGCTCGACGGGCGAGAGGCCCACGGGCTCGCTGCTGGGCAACATCAGTCGGATCTCGACGGCGTTGTGGAAGCAGGCGATGCGGGACAGGCTCTACGTGCTGCGTTCGGAGAGGATGGCGCTGGAGAACATGGGCCAGCTGTTGGAATGGGCGGAGACGATCGCCGAGGGAGACAAGGGCGAGGAGATGGAGCCCATGCGGGTTTTGACGGCGGGGAGGAACTTGTGCGCTTGGCTCGGCGACGACATGGGCGTGGAGATGATGGAGGCGTTGGAGTGAGTTGAACTTTGTCCGCTTTTGAGTTTGTCCTATCTGTTAGACTTGTTGAGGGTTCATGGAGGGAGTGCCCCAGAGAGACGCTGCCGAGGAATGTTTCTCGCGAGGCGGAGCTGCCTCTGAATGAAAACCATGGTGCTAGCCATCCTGTGATACACTTGCTCTCCCCGATGATGCATATGCCATATGGCCATTCCCAGTGACGTGAATCAAATGGTGCCCCATGTCCTGGACAACTGTCTAGGAGGCACGTCCTCGTCATGGCGGCCTGGCGTTGACCCCCGCTGATGTAACCGGTGGAAGCCCCCCACCTCCCTCCTCCGACCGCCACCTCCAGCACCTGCACCTGCACTACAGCGCATAGAAGCGTGCTTGAGCTTTTGACACAAGCACGACACGCCTTCACCCGCAAGTTCTGGTGAGACGGTCCATCGCGCATTTTGGAATCACTCGGCCATTGATTTTATTTTTCCCAAAGGAAGGATCATCAGTATTCTGCCCAGTACCGGATTTCTGTGAGGACTCGTCACTTTCCGCCACCAGCTTCACAACAGTCCAAAGTGCTGACCAACAAAACTCCCCCCTCCCCAGCTACAGCTCGCGAACTTACTCCTACGATACCCGACCGCTGCTGCAGTTCACCACGAGTTTGACGATCCATTTCCCGACCGGTGGTTCTTTCCACGCTTTTGCCTTTCTCGTCTCCAGACCGACCATGCGATCATCCTCATGATGGAGCCCCCAACCACCACACAAGAGCGCCAGCTCTGCGAATTCCTTCGCGATCTGCCGGCCCGCCACAACTACCGCTATGAAGGGTCCGCCCCCAGTGACCTCCTCGAGAGCCTCTTCTGGTCCCTGGCCGGCGGCGAGCGCTACATGGGCCTCCTCTTCCCCCAGGGCCGCCCCTCCCACGACATGAAGCTCCGCGATGCCCAGGGCGCCGTCGAGGGCGCCGAGTACACAGAAGCCGCCCGCGGCAAGCGGTGCGGCCACATCTTCAAGCCCGGCGAGGCCTCGTACTCGTGCCGCACCTGCAGCACCGACGAGACGTGCGTGCTCTGCAGCCGCTGCTTCGACTCGACCGACCACCAGGGCCACATGGTCCGCATATCCATCTCCGTCGGCAACAGCGGCTGCTGCGACTGCGGAGACGACGAGGCCTGGCGCCGGCCCCTCTTCTGCACCATCCACTCCGAGAAGGCCACCGAGAGCCGCGAGGACAAGGGCAAGCAGCCCGTGGGGCTGCCGGAGGACCTGGTGCAGAGCATGCAGATGACCATTGGCCGCGTCTTTGACTACATCTGCGACGTCATCTCCTGTTCGCCCGAGCAGCTGCGCCAGGCCAAGTCGGCCGAGACCATACGGCAGGACGAGCTCCTGTCGAGGCTGTCTCCCGAGGCATACGGCGAGGGGCCCGTCGGCAACACCGAGTTTGCCCTGGTCCTGTGGAACGACGAGAAGCACACGGTCGAGGACGTGCAGAAGCAGGTCGCCAGAGCGTGCCGGACGACCGAGGCCGTGGGCCTGACACGCGCCACCGAGACGGACTTTTTGGGACGGAGCATCCTCAACCACCTCGACGACCTCGACCGGCTGCTCGAGATGGCGAAGAAGCTGGAGGAGATCAAGGTCACGGTGACGATTCGCTCTTCGAGGGACACCTTCCGCGAGCAAATGTGCGGCACCCTCATCGACTGGTTGAGCGACATTTCTGGATGCAGCGTCGGAAACGACCACCACATTCTCCGCCAGCTCGTTTGCCAGGAGATGATGAAGCCGTGGCGCAAGGGCAGCCCTGGGACGCATGCTGTCGTGGGAAAGAGCGGCATTTACGACGAGGAGAAGCTGTTCAGGCAGGCTGAGATGCAGAGCGCCATGGCCCACCACTTTGTCCTGCAGATGCTGCAGATGCGAGGCATTCCCGGCCAGCAGGACGATGATGACGACGGTGAGCTTACCGACGAAGACGACACAGACATGGGCCGCGAAGAAGGCGGGCCGCCGTCCAGCGATGGAGGCGACGGGGGCGATGACGACGTCATGATGGTTGATGTGAGGCCGGATCCTGGAGAAATGGGCATCGACTGGCGAGGGTCAGACCAGGCTTTGGAAGAAGACGAGGCCACCATGGCTGGGTATCCTCCACCGCCGCCGCCCCCAGCTCAAGCCGCGCGCCGCGCGAACAGAGAGCGCGACAACACCCCCTCAGATTCCGACACGGCGGACCCCCTCATTGCCCCGGCTGTCTACGCCAAGGCGAACCTCGAGATCCCCAAGACGCCCGGCAACACGGAAAAAACGCAATCGCCCAAGCCAGGCAGGTATTGGCTCGAGACGCCCCCGGGATACATGGACCGCGGCGAGATGCCTCCTGCCGAAGACGTCTTCCAGAGGGTCCGTTTGGACTGGCTCATCTTGTTTGATCTGCGAATGTGGAAGAAGGTGAGGAACGACTTGAGGTCGCTCTACATCTCGACAGTTGTCTCGATACCCGAGTTTAAGCGCATCCTCGGTCTTCGATTTGCCGGGCTTTACACAACGCTGGCTCAGCTCTATCTCATTGGAGACCGAGAGCCAGACCACTCCATCATCAACCTATCCTTGCAGATGCTCACTACGCCGAGTATCACTGCGGAAATTGTTGAACGGGGCAACTTCATGACCAGCCTTCTCGCCATTCTCTACACATTCCTCACGACCAGGCAGGTCGGCTACCCCTGGGACGTTTCCTCCAACGCGGTCCTGGCATTTGATTCTGGGTCAGTTACCAACAGGCGCATGTATCATTTCTATCTCGACCTAAAGTACCTCTTTGGGTCACCCCATGTGCAGGAGAAGTTGCGTTGCGAGGAACGCTACCTCCTTCAGTTCCTGGACCTGGTCAAGCTCCACCAGGGTATCGGCCCCAACGTTCGAGCGGTGGGTGAGCATGTCGAATACGAGACGGACAGCTGGATAACAGCTTCCTTGGTCACACGCGAGATCAACAGGCTGGCTAAACAGCTCGCTGATTCGTTCCGCAACGTTCCCGAGAACGAGGTTCAATACGTTGCCCGGGCCATCAGACTGACCGCCAAGACGGTTATCCTCAACTCGCTTGGCGCCGAGCGTCACCGCTTCAAGCAGGCCGAGATCAAGGACGAAGTCAAGTTCAAGACGCTGGGCGACTTTGAGTTTGTCCACGAGTCAGCCAGGTACGATGTCGTCAAATTTACCGTCGAGGAAGACCCCATCAGTCTGCATCATGCCCTGCACTACACTCTGTCGTGGCTGATTGAGTGCGGCAAGTCGCTGCCCGCATCTAGCATGCGGGCGCTGCTGAGTTTCACCCCTCAGGACCTGCTGCTCCAGCCCAAGTCTATGGGTCGTAAGAGCACTGCAAGGCGTGACAATACCCCCGAGGACCATCTTATGGCTGCGATCGACTACCCGCTGCGAGTTTGTGCTTGGTTGGCTCAGATCAAGGCCAACATGTGGGTTCGCAACGGCATCAGTCTTCGACACCAAGCGGCGACGTACCGCGGAGTCAACCAGCGCGATGTGTCACACCACCGTGATATCTTCCTGCTACAGACCGCTATGGTCATTTGCGATCCGAATCGTGTGCTGACCGCCATTATCGACCGTTTTGGCATGGAGAAGTGGGTGAAGGGCCTTTTCGAGCAGAAGCCCAACGCGCAGGATGACAATCAGCATCTGGACGTTGTGGAAGACATGATCCATCTGCTGATTGTGTTGCTGAGCGATCGGACATCGCTGATTACCGTCGAAGACGAGCCCAACCCAGGCACGTTGGCCATTCGCCGCGACATTATCCACACGCTCTGCTTTAAGCCATTGTCGTTCAACGAGATTTCCAACAAGCTGCCGGAGAAGTTCCAGGAGCTTGAGGACTTCCACCGAATCTTGGATGAGATGACAACTTTCAAACCCCCTGAAGGTGTTTCTGATGTGGGCACGTTCGAGCTCAAAGACGAGTACCTTGAGTATCTCGACCCGTACATTGCCCATTACAACAAGAACCAGAGAGAAGAGTCAGAAACGGCCTACCGCAAAAAGATGGCCAGGAGGACAGGCAAGACCGTTGAGGAGATTGTCTACGAGCCGAAGCTACGACCGATCCCCTCTGGCCTGTTCAAGGACCTCTCGGCCTTCACCGGCGCCGGCATGTTCGCGCAGACCATCTACTATTCGCTCCTGTATCCCCTGGTCGCCGCCAAGTTCACTCCGACGGTACCAGGAACGCGCATCGAGACCTTCTTGCAGGTTGTCCTGCACTTGGTTCTCATCGCTGTATCAGAGGACCGCACCAACGAGGACGACATGACTGAAGAGTCGCTGAAGTCCTTCATCTCCATCGCCTTGTCACGGCCTGCCAGGAGCAATTTCCTGCCAGAGGCTCCCAATGCGAAGACGATTGTGGCTCTGCTAGACATGATGTCGACGAAAGAAGAGTTCAAGGCATGCCACCCCCGGATCGGCCTCATTCTCAAGCGGATGCGCCAGAAGCGGCCTCGTAGCTTTGAAAATGCCTACATGCGCCTGGGTGTTTCTGTCGATCGCATCGAGACCGCCTCTCCGGCAAACAACTCGGCGGAGGAAGAGCGTGAACGCAAGAAGAAGGCGGCGCTGAGTCGCCAGGCCAAGGTCATGGCCCAGTTCCAGCAGCAGCAAAAGAGCTTCATGGACAACCAGGGCGATGTAGACTGGGGCTCTGATCTCGAAGATGATGACGCGCTGAAGCCGACCGAGGACCGTAAGAACACATGGAAATATCCAACGGGGACTTGCATCCTGTGTCAGGAAGACACGGATGACCGCCGGCTCTACGGCACCTTTGCCCTGTTCAACCAGAGCTCGATACTGAGACAAACTGATCTCCAGGACCCCGACTTTGTACGCGAAGCGTTCCATACTCCCGCCAACCTTGATCGGTCTGCCGAAGACATTCGCCCGTTCGGTGTGGCGCACGAGAACCGCCAGGAGGTGACCAAGGTCAATGCGAACGGAGAGTCCTTCACTGCGGAGCGTCAAACCATTGGAAAAGGCTTCCCCGCGAAGCTGTCCCGACCCGGCCCTGTCTCCATCGGATGCGGCCACATGATGCACTTCAGTTGCTTCGAGACGTATGTCGAGGCCACGAACCGAAGACATCATCACCAGATCGCACGCCATCACCCGGAAGACCTGCGGCGGCGAGAATTCGTCTGCCCTCTCTGCAAAGCCTTGGGCAATGCATTCCTTCCTGTCATTTGGAAGGGCCAAGAAGAATCTTACCCCAGCGTGCTCGACCAGGGCCCGCGATCGTTTGCCGACTTTCTCGAGACGGAAATGCGCAGTGCGTACTACGTCCGCGGGGCTACCCGGCCGCCTGACCAGGTCCAGTCCTCGTTCGCGCGGTATACAAAGGACGCCGTCACGACGGCGCTCGCGGAGAAGGCAAGCCAGCTCTATGAAGAGGCATGGAGCACAGAAGACTCGGCCAGCGGCGAGCTGCCTCTTGTCACGCCGCTGAGCTCCATGTTTTCGGCCATGAACACGCCCATGACGTCTCGTCGCTCAACTTCTAACGATGCGGGCGGCCTCCTAGGCGAGCTCGTGCGGGTCTACCGCCGCCTGCGTGACACCGTGCAGATGAACGGCTTCCAGACAAGGCATCCCGTTGACCCAAGGGAGATGCGGGAAAGGGACGAAATCATCTACAGTGACGTGCTGGTGCGGGTCGTAGGCAACTCCATCGCGGCGACCGAAATCCAGCAGCGAGGCGTGGAGGCCCAAAGTGGCCTGACGCTTCTGGAGAAGATTCCGGAGCAGGTCTTGACGCACCTTCGAATCCTCTCCGAGACGACGACTTCATACATTGCAGTCGGCGGCCTCAAGGCGCGCGGCGACAACCGCGTCGAGGAGGAATTCCGAAGAGACAGCGAGAGGCAGCACTGCCAACTGTTCATGTCGCAATATTTCGGAGAGGAGACGGACAACACTCGTCGTCCCGTCGACATTTATCCCCCGCTGATGAGCCAGGACAGCTTCCTCTTCTTCAACGAGTGTTGTTTCGGTCTCGTTCAGGCGCACGATTACGACGTCAACCACATTCTCAAGCTTTGCTACCTCGCCGAGATTGTCAAGGTCGTCTATCACATGAGCAAGAACATTCCGTCCCACGTCTGGGTCGGCTATCTGGTCAACTGCCAAGCGCGAGACGCGTCGCTCAAGCACTTTGCTGAGTTCTGTCTGGCCATTACGAGAATGGCCATGGACATCAACGCCGCGCCTTCTGACGTGGGGTCCGACTTTGACCTCAGCAACACGGCATTTGGCCAGCCGGAGCTCGACAGCCTAGAGAGCTACTACGCCTTTGTCAAGAAGTACGCCCAGGTCTTCCTGCGCAAGTCGGTCGTGCTGCTGTACGTCAAGTACGGCGTCGACTTCAACAGCCACGTGTCGCCGGCGCCCGAACAGGACGAGCTCGAGCGGCTCTCGGAGGCCCTGCAGCTGCCCGACTTTGACAAGATGGTCGCCTCGCTGACGGAGCACGGCCCGCACGCCGGCTGGTCGCCCTCGACGTCGGCCCTCGTCAGCGGCTGGGTCCGCCACCAGATCCTGTGGCCCGGGTCGGTCGAGGAGAAGGAGCTGCCGGCGTCGGCGCAGCTCAGCCACCCGGCCATCTTTGAGCTCGTCGGCCTGCCCAAGACGTTTGACACGCTCATCGAGGAGGCGACGAAGCGCAAGTGCCCCTCGACCGGCATGGACGTGTCGGACCCCATGATCTGCCTGCTGTGCGGCGACGTCTTCTGCGGCCAGGCCGTCTGCTGCCTCAAGGAGGAGGCGGTGCCGGGCGACCGGGAGCCGCAGCGCATCGGCGGGTCGCAGCAGCACATGCGGAAGTAAGCCTCCCCCTTTTGTCTACTACTGACTCTCCTTCTCTCTCCTTCACCTCTTCCCCACACACATCGATCGTTTTGTGAAAGGTCATGAAAACCGCTCGCTAACAGATCGGTCAACAGATGCCAAAAGAACATTGGCCTCTTCCTCAACATCCGCAAGTGCTGCATCTTCTACCTCTTCCGCATGTCGGGCTCGTACAGCAGCGCGCCCTACATTGACAAGTACGGCGAGACGGACCTCGGCCTGCGCCACGGCCGGCAGCTGTTCCTGAGCCAGCGGCGGTACGACTCGATGCTGCGCAACACGTTCCTCAGCCACGGCGTGCCGAGCTTCATCAGCCGCAAGCTCGAGGCCGAGATCAACAATGGCGGGTGGGAGACGATTTAGGACAAGGGGGTCGTTGGGAGCCCGTCTGAGCAGCACGGCGGAGGGCATCGTGTTGGAGGAGTACGCATCACTTACAGGGGACGGGCACGCTGCATAAAGGAAGGGGCGAGTAGCATCAAGGGCGTTTCTGTCTCACTCTCGCCGGATCGTTCCCCCTAGTTTAGACACATACCAATGATGAACGAACGAATTGTCATGTCCGTGAGACCGTACGGTGGATTGAGATGATGATGAGTATTGACTTTGTAAGATAAGGGGGGGTTTCTACGTCCTTCCAGATTGAACGAGCTGTCATTACTCATGCACGTCAATGCAGACTAGACGGCACGGCCTATGCTCACGCGCTCGTGCCGTCCATCGCGACGTCGTCGTCTTCTACCTTGATGGGCGGCTCGGCGCTCCGGCTCGTCTCCGTCTCGGCGGGCGCCAATGGCGGGCGTCACGCCGTTCTCGGCGTGCCCATGGACGGCGCCGCCGCCGTTCGTCAGCGCGTCAGTCGCTTCTGTGGCGGCAGTCGCCTCTGCATCGTGGGTCTCTGTGGCGTGGACAAAGACGCGCAAGGAGCCGTCCTGGCCGGCCGTCACCATGGTGTCGCGCCGGACATCGACCCAGAAGCAGACGAGGCCCGGGTGGGCGTGCAGCCTCTGGACAACGTCCTTGGAGGAGACGTCCCAGAGGACGACGTCGCCGTCCTCGCTCGCCGAGGCGACAAAGGCGCCGCCGTCGGGCAGCAGGCCAAAGCAGCCGCCGACGGCATAGGCGGCGTTCTTGTGGCCCTGGTAGGTCTTGCGGACGGTGCCGGCGACGTAGTCCCAGAGGCGGATGCAGCCGTCGAGGTTGAAGGCGAGGACGAAGCGGCTGTTGGGGGCGAAGCAGACGGCCGTGACGGCGGGGTTGTCCTCGTGGACGAGGGTCGAGAGGCACTGGCCGGTGTACGTGTCCCAGATGCGGATGAGGCCGTCAGTGGAGCAGCTGACGACGAGGGTGCCGTCGTGGGAGAAGCCGATGCCGGAGACGGGGTCGGAGTGGGCGGGCAGGGAGCGCATGAGGCGACCGGCGCGGACGTCCCAGAGAAAGACGGCCTCGTCGTGGGAGCCCGAGGCGAGGACGTTGCCCTTGGGCGAAAAGGCAATGCTGACGACGTAGTTGTGGTGGCCGCGCAAGGGGGGCATGGGGCGGGCAGCGCCGTCCTTGGCGCCCGAGATGCCCTTGGCGCTGACCTTGGGGCGGCCGGTGACGCGGTCCCAGAGGCGGATGGCCTTGTCGTCGGAGCCGGTGGCGAGGGTGTCGCCGTCGGGGGACCAGGCGAGGCAGCTGACGCCGGCCATGTGGCCGACGAGGGTGTCCATGAGACGGCCGGTGTGGGCGTCCCAGATTTTGACGGTGGCGTCGGCCGAGGCCGAGGCGATCCAGCGGCCGTCGGGGGAGATGCGGACCTGGGAGACGGGGCCGCGGTGGCCGGTGAGGGTCATCTTGGGGCGGTAGTCTGGGCGGACATTATGGCGCGGGGCCGGGGGCGGTGGGGGGTGGTGGTCTTGTTGTTGTGGCGAGAGGCGCAGGTGCCGGTCGACCTTGTCGGCGAGGCTCTGGGGCGTGGTGCGGTCGGAGGCGGCGGGGGATAGGGAGCGCGAGTCAAAGGCGAGGGTGCGAGGCGAGGGTGACGGCGAAGGGGAGAGGGCATGGGGTCTCGAGCGAGAGCGGGTGCGGGAGCGGGAGCGGGCCGAGTCGTCGTCGTCGGAGGAGGCAGCTGGTGAACGGGCAGCTGGTGAGCGAGAGGGCGAGCGGGTTCGGTTTCTGGTTCGCGTTCGCATTCGCGTTCGGGTCCGTGAGGGCGAGGGCGAGCGCGAGGCGGGCCTCGTGTCGGGGGTGGGCGACTGGGTGTAGTAGGCGTGGTTGAGCTCGTCCTCGCTGGACCTCCGGCTGGGCGGGGACCTGCTAAGCCTGCCTCTCCTGATGGAGACGCGGCGCGGCGAGCTCTTCTTGAGGTCTGTGGCGAGCTCATCGGGGGAGCTGTAGCGAGGGGTCGAGGTGGAGCTCTTGAGGGTCGAGACGCGCCGTCGCTTGGGCGCAGGTTCGGGGAGGATGGCGTCGTCGAGGTCCATGGTGGTGGTGGTGGAGGTTGTCGTCGTGGAAGATGGTGCAGAGGAAGGAGAGGCAGTGCTGGGCAGCCACCGAGGGCGGGCTGGGAGACAAGTAGTCGTGGAAGACGCCGCGACGAGAGGAAGAGGTCAGCGTTTCGTGATGCACATGAGGGTTGGCGCGTGAGGATCGATGGATTGGATGGAGGAGCAAGAGTCTGGCCTGGCAGGGCAAAGTGAAGGAAGGCTGATGGTCCATGTCGATTTCGATTCGAGGGTGCTGAGACAGGGGGGTGCATTGGTACCAGAGGGGGTGCATTGGGAGGGCCGGCCTCTGTAGCTGCCGAGCGCCGACCTCAGCTTGACTAATCCGTCAACAGCGCCAGCCTCGCCCCTGCCTCGTCTCGGCCTCGCCCTCAGCCTATCTCTGCCTCGCCCTCAGCCTATCTCTGCCTCGCCCTCAGCCTCGTGTCTTCCATCGTGAGCTCCCACTCCAACACGAACACACCATCTGCTCCTTTAGCCTGCACACAAAGACCTCCACCCCAAGGTCCACCCCAAACCGCTGAGCATCACCACCCCGCCATGGCCTCGCATGCCGCCGCCGCTTCCGCCCCCACCGACATCCACATCGTCACCCTCAACTGCTGGGGCCTCAAGTACATCTCGAAGCAGCGGCCCCAGCGCCTCGCCGAGATTGCCCGCCGGCTCGCCCTCGCCGACCCCGCCCCGCACATCGTCGCCCTGCAAGAGTGCTTCGTCCACGATGACTACCTCGCCATCCGTCGCGCCACGCGCCACGTCCTGCCCCACGGCAAGTTCTACTTTGCCGGCCCCTTCGGCGCCGGCCTCGCCCTCCTCTCGCGCTGGCCCATAGAGGAGGCCGCCACGCTTCCCTACCCCCTCAACGGCCGGCCCACGGCCTTCTGGCGCGGCGACTGGTACGTCGGCAAGGGCGTCGCCTGTGCCACCCTGCGCTGCGACGAAGATGAGCCTGGCAACGCCGAGTCTTGATCCAACGACGAGC